CAGTTGAAAATGGAAAAAACCTTTGAAACAGAAAAAATTCGCCTATTGTCTATAAATGCTAGATAGTAGCAAATAGCAAATTTGCTCTGTTTTACATCTGGTGCTTTGTCAGTTGCCAGAATATCAGTAAGCCCTGAGCCATGCAGTTAGAGCGATTCAGTCGAAAACGTGCCGATGAGCTTTGAGGTGTAGAAAAAAAAGCCTTCTAAGGCTGTCGTTTTGTATACCAAACATTGGCGATGGTATGAGAGATTATTTGGGGGGAAATTTTGTCAAATTTGCTGAAAACATTAGCATAGATGAGAGGTTGACGTTTCAAAGGTTTTCAAGGACAAATAAAGGGGAAAAACTTGAGATTATTGTGAAATGCTAGAAAGATACTGGGGACAAATTCCAAAAACTTTTTAGAAAACAGCATTTTTGTGCATAAATAAGGCTCAAAGTTACAACACCTCTGCAGGGGGGTTAGATAGAAAGTGTACTGGTTTTATCTGGCCTATATATGGCATATGGTCCGAACGGCACATATTTATGGCCAAAAATATGAAAAAAAGACTTGAGAAGATCAAAGCTGCCGCATTTCTTTAGGGCTCTCCCAAAGCGCTCCACGCAAGCTTGCCAATACTCAGCGAATAATTCGATGTACGCAGCCATTTTCGAATTAGCTGTTTTTCAACGAATTGATCGTGAAGATCATCTATCTATTTGATCTTTTTATTCAACTTGAAGTCATTAACTACGAACTAAAGCCTTGGTTTGTTACGCTTAAGTACATTTTGCTCACTAAATGCTATTCTTCCGAGAATATCCAATTTTCTAGCTTTGAATTGGCGCGAAATGTAATTTTTTCAAATGCTGCTTTTTCCAGATGTCTGATTCAACTGGAGAGACGAAAACAGATGCAGCGAAGGACAAGGAGAATGCAACGGAGAATGTGCTGCCGCCTTCGCAACCGGATGATGCCCCTGAGAAGCTCGATGGGAAAGGTTTGAGCTTTTACGAGTTTTCTCATTGATCTGTTTGCTTTCTCCCTCCCTTTACGCCTAAGACCCGCTGTTCAGAAAACGCTGCAGATGTTAAAGATGCTGGAGATCAGAGCGACGACGAAGCAGAGCCGATCTTGACCATACAAGATATCTTGGACAATGAAGCATCATCAAGGGAAACAGCAAGAGTTTTACTTGGTGCCCAGGATTCTTCAGTTTGCACTTATCCAGAGGTATTCGCCGTACTTTATATTTCGTCTTTTATTTTGCTAATTCTCGAAATTGTTGAGGAAAAAAAGAAAAGCTGCTTGCTTTTTTTAAAAATATATCAATATATATATATGTATATATGAAGTAGGATATTCGTCATATTTTAAAGAAGAAAACCCGCGAGTTTTAAAAGGGAAAAAATGGTCTGAGCAAGTAGATGGCTATCTTTGCCACTTTATGCATACGTTCTAAAAAAGGAGGTTAAGCTAGCGTTTTCATAATAAAATTTATATTTTTTATTAATTCATCTGAAAGGTGCGAAGTCTCTGTTAGCAGTAGAAAAAAGAGTTTAATCAATGGAAACTTCACGTCTTTTCTTCAACTTTCTCTTTAGATTTACCTAGTTGCTTGTTGTTTCATTAGGCAACCGTTATTATTGTAATTAGTTACGGAAGATGAAGCCATTAGCTTTCTGAGATTGCACTGAAAATGAGTTTGAACATCTGACGACTGCATAGTACGTACTTACACTCGAATTCGTATCTTTGTTCACTGAATCTCTTGACTAACTGAGTTCATTTATTTTTTATTGCGCAATCTCATAAATGAAATTCCTTTTTTAACAAAGTTCTCGTTTCGCATTTTCTGTTCGCTCCTTTTTTCCAGGTGCTTTCAACTTATTTCTGATCCCAGTCGGGCTTCTCAATGACCACATATGAATTTGTATCAATAACTACATTCAGGGTTACAAACCCCGTCAAGCAATCTTCGCTTGCCTTACGTGCGCCCCTGAACCTGAGAAGAACGAAGCGGGAGTGTGCTACGGGTGCTCAGTGCACTGTCATGATGGCCACAACATTGTAGAACTTTTCACCAAGAGAAGGTTTAGGTATGTCTGAGAAAATCATTCTCTATATTGTTCTATAGTGACTATTGCGTAAAGCTGATTTTGCGTATTACAGGTGCGACTGCGGCAATAGCAAATTCAAGACGAAATGTACGTTGTATGAAGTAAGTCGAGCATACCGTACATTTTCCTTGTTTTTGTCTTCTATGCCCCTTTCATAAGCGGATTTAATAA